CAAACACCCCAACACCCCAACAAACAAACAAACAAACAAACAAACAAACAAACAAACAAACAAACAAACAAACAAACAAACAAACAAACAAACAAACAAACAAACAAACAAACAAACAAACAAACACCCCAACAAACAAACAAACAAACAAACAAACAACCCAACAAACAAATAAACAAGAAAGGTAAAGATGAGCCATTGTTTATCTTTCTTAGGCCACTGAAGAGCGAATCAGGGAAATTTGTCGGCAGCAGATACTGGAACAGCTACGAGGCCCTTCTTGCTCCGAGACCAGACTGCTGGATGAAGATATCATGAACAAGCTCTGCAGCCTTCTGGATGATATCAGTCCAATTGGGCGCGACTGGCGCATGCTGCCAGAGAACCTTACCGGCCTGAAGAGCAAAGGTCACAGCTGGGTAGAAAGCATCGAAATACGGACCGCGAGCTGGCCGTTTAGAAGTCCCACTGAGTTCGTTCTCGATGCGTTCTTTGCAGCGTCGAGGGAAAGCAAGATCGGGGAAAGATGCACTCTGGAGGAACTGAAAAAAGGTCTCCTCAGCCTGAGCCGGTTGGATATCCACTTTGCCATCCAAGCTATCACTGACAAGTTAAAACAAGGCAAGCATGGTATTGATTATAGACAACGAATAGAGAGTGGCTATGTAAGTGGTTCGCATCCTGACAGTGATGATCTGTAGATTTAGGAAGCCATGTCTTAGGTCTTTGATTTAAACCGAGTGTGTCCAATCAGGTTGTAAATATTTAGAGAGATTGATAGAATGTTGCTTAATTTAATATCCGTCAGACGACGTTTTTCTCTTTGTAAAACGATCCGACTTGTTTGATAAAAGGGCTTAAAAATTAAAAACAAAACACTGTTAGGGCTAGATAAAATGCACAGCGTGAATTTCTCTGAATCTACTGTTGCATCAATTAAAGCATAGAAAAATAAACACGCTGCGATAGGTTTCGGATGCAATTATAAGTAACTTGCAATTGTAAATTCATGCGTGAGCTAAACCTCGGATTTGGCTTTATAACCATAGCTTAAATGTTAGAAATGAAGACATATTCTTCTAAAGAGTGTAGACGTACTGTGAGGTTGGGCTAGAAAAGGTGTCACTATGAACGAATACAGAAGCCGTTTTATTGGCAACGGAAACGGTTCGACCTACTGTGGCTCCGTTTTCAACTAGAGAGGTTCGCTATGTCTACTCAACATCACACATGTACTGTTTCCATAATTTATAGTCCCTTTGCACATTACGTCAACGTTTTATGGGGAGCCTTACATCTAGCTTTTGAAGGAAAATGGCTTTCGAGAAAATAGCCCAAAACGTTTCTCCTCTTTCGACACTGCTAAACCAATAAGTTTTTGCAGTAGAAAAACCTGACATGATTATTTGAGAGCTAAACTTTTGCACAAACCAAGTGATCAAAAAGAATACAGTGATTAATTAGCCGAAATCAATCGCCGGAAGTAAAGATCAGCGTCCGTTCTTGAAATCGATACTCTACGACGAAGTGAAATCTGTCTGTCAGTATTGGTAATTTGGAAATGCCGCAAATTCTGCTTTGCATTTAATTTAGAATCTACGGTTTTGATGTATTTTTCCTTATACACGTATACTGTCTTGCAAACAACATTTAATTAATGTGATTTTAATATAATAGACAAGTTAATTATACTCTGGAAACATTCGCGGTCCCAGTCTTTTGATCGTTGGTTCGTCGATTCAATGTGACATAATTATTCGCACAAACACACCGCGGAGCGGCACCGCAGATATAACCCACTGTGAATAATGACTACTCTTGACGAGTGGTGCGGTAAAACTGAAATCTAGATGATCCATGAAGCAGTCTATTTCTCTCGAGGTTCGTGAGCGAATGGACCGGAAAACAACCATTGATCAACAAATAACGACTGCTTATGAGTGCAATTGTAAGAATCATTTCAGGAAGTGACAGGGCGGAGTCAAACCGTTCAAATCGAACATTTTATCAGTCATCAAGTTAAAGATCTTTAACATCGCACAAGTGTAAAAAATTCATAATTTGTTTTATACAGTACCTGCATAAACTCTCTTCTGTTAGGAGAACAAATAGGTCTGTCATTTTTCGGAACAGATTCGTGTCCGAAGCGATACCTCTCTGTAGTATCGTGCAATCTTAGATTATTTTCTGTACCTACTTTATTTTCCTCTTCCTTACTAGAAATGAAATATATAAAATTCGGGCGGGAACTAGTCAAGTAAAATGAAGTTCTATTCAACGGGTATCGTGAATATCGACCTTATGCGTTAACTTAGGTGGTTCAGAGGCAATTCTTTGTTAGTTTAATGTAATTACAATGAATACACAAAAGGTTTACCCGAGCCTATCCCAGAGGAAGAACGAAAAACCCTCTAACGAGTCGTCATACCCCCATATGGTCCATAACAAACAATTTCAGGACATGTTATTAACTATCCACCAATCAGATGACTGGGATTTATGAAGGTATTGTATAACTTTCTGTGAGTGTGGTATGGGTGTCTCTTTTTACTCGTGGGTCTTTTTCAATCAATTTACCCTGGACTTGCAAAATTGGTTGTTGGTGTTTGCTTAGTACGTTATCATCGAGTCACTTCACGAGTAAGCTGCAGCTGTTCGCTCTATAATTTGGATCTTACCATGGTGGAGCGACAGGAGTTCAGTGGTCAACTTTTGAAGATAATCCATTGAAGCGACTAATTCAAGGGCCAAGATAAGTCTCCTGATGTTACAAAAGAAAACGTGGTAAGTCCCTTTTTACCAATGTTAAGCAGTTATTGAAGGGGCGAAGGGAGCTAAATGCTTCATGGATTTCTGAATTACCTGGTTTGATGAGTCGCTGTTCTTTCACCTTTTTAATTCGTGTACTATTTTTATTAAGAGTCTGCCCGCGGAAGCACAATGGGAAACGGAAATGTTTACAAAATTGATTCCAGCCAGAGTTTTTTTTTCTGTGAACTGAGTTAGGAATTTACTGCTGGATAAATTGAACTACCTGTATTAAATCCAGAAGAATACTTGTTGAAATAAAGAAGTAAAGTTTACTCTCAATAACTGATTTTACAAATTACTAAATGAGAGCAAATCACTGTGCTGTCGTTGCAACTTTCAGTCCGTGGTGTATCTCTATGAATAGACGGTGAATCTTTCTGGGAAAAGTTCGTTGCATTGTATCTTCTGCGATTGTGATAAGTCGTGCACACAAGTGAGCTTGTTTAGAGAAGAATTTCAGGCAAAGAAAATTAGGACTACACAGCTGAATAAACTCAGATGAAGACGAAAATTAAGGCTAAAATAAAGGCAGTCCATTTGGGCGTACTACTGGCGAAATCCCGTTTACTCTTCGAATCATAAAAGAAGACGGGTTTGGAAATGGTCACCCATCAAAATGATCAAGTGAACGTGAGGTTGAAAGAACAACACAGTTGGGAAGTTCCCTTAAAAGGTTGAATTTAATAATTATCCATTTTTTTCTTTGTGAAAGTTGATAGCATTTACCACAAGAGAGCGACAAGTCTTTTATGTTGAAAGTTCATTACCACGAGCTGAACATGAAGAGAGGATGGGTTTTCCCACAATTGCGAAATTGCCTACATACATGTAATAAGGCACCGAAGTAAAGCGAGATATATATAGTTATTACTGTTAGAGCAGTTAATTGTCTAACTTTCGTTTTAACACTTGTTTTCCTGTTGTGACGATTCGCAAAACAATACCTTTACCTTATTTCTGATCGCTGCGATCCGCAAAAGGATTTAGCTTTTCTCAACACAAAGCATGGTTTCCGATCGCCGCGCCGCGAAATTAATAACATAATAACATCAACAGTAACTTCTGACTTTCCGGTCGTTGCGATCCGCAAATCAGTCACATATACATGACCACTGTTATTATTCAACATCTTCCAGTCGCAGCGATCCGCGAAGGCTTCATTCCATGAGGAGTTCCAAGTCATACACCATTTTTGTCTCCGGTTGTTGAGACCTGCGAAACACCATTTCAAAACCATCGACGCCTGCCTTTCAGCATTACTCGTGCCACAGAATGAAAAACTTCATTGAGCGCGCAACTGTTATATAAGCTCCACTCAATACTGCATGCTAAATTATAAGCACGTAATAGTGCACCTCCAAGAGTGTGCAAAGCAGTGGCCAATCACAATGCGCGAAATTTGTTGACCCTTTCCAAACACGCATTGGGTCAACAGTAATGCGTAATGTGATTGGCCAACGCGTTACAAACTCTTGAAGGCACACTCTGCTGAATCGCTGTGGGCTTAATTGAATACTCTTGGTATTATCAGACTGATACCACCTACGGGCACAGTTATTGTAACGATTCTAGCGAAAGAAGACACCTTGATTTAATCTCTCATGTCTTCCTGTCCATAAATATTGTAAAGTGAAGGCTCCAGAGCCCGTAAAACCAAACCTCTTAAATAGGTCCCATCCGCTTCTCAGTGCGAACGGTTATAACTTAAGCCTTTTTCATTTTTGTCTTTTATTTTGTATTTCTCTTTCCATATATATACTGCAGTTTTGTTTAGTGATAAAGAACGTTTCTAAACACTATCTTGCTGTCAATTTATAACCATATACATGTAGCTTGTTGATAAATATGGACGCACACTGTTCACAGTCTAAACACGTTAAAGTAAACAAGATAGTGTTTAATCGCTTAATACAGATTATAAAGTGTACATGAGGTGGTAATCAATACTCTAATATTCGAATAGCTTATAAATAAAACAGCTCAGTTGAGTGGACGAAGAACAATCAACAATGTTCCTTTCCGGGTTGGTAGCAATGTCCCCCACCCCCGCGATTAACCAACTTCCAGCACTCACATGGAAATACATGTATGACGACGAACGTGCTGTGCCCGAGTATTACGAAGGATCTATTAATACGCTTTGCGTCACCTTCTGCATTGCTGCACCTATGCGGAAAAGTACCCCCACGAGTCACATGCATTGGTTCAGAACTAAAATCACCCCGCTCCACATTGGCCCGCAATACGTCTCTAGACATACCACTTCAATCAATTTACCCTGGACTTGCAAAATTGGTTGTTGGTGTTTGCTTAGTACGTTATCATCGAGTCACTTCACGAGTAAGCTGCAGCTGTTCGCTCCATAATTTGGATCTTACCATGGTAGAGCGACAGGAGTTCAGTGGTCAACTTTTGAAGATAATCCATTGAAGCGACTAATTCAAGGGCCAAGATAAGTCTCCCGATGTTACAAAAGAAAACGTGGTAAGTCACTTTTTACCAATGTTAAGCAGTTATTGAAGGGGCGAAGGGAGCTAAATGCTTCATGGATTTCTGAATTACCTGGTTTGACGGGTCGATGTTCTTTCACCTTTTTAATTCGTGTACTATTTTTATTAAGAGTCTGACCNAATACCTTAATTTTTCGTTTCGCTAATTAAGGTTTTGCTCCCTTTTAGTTTTTATGCTAGTTCAAATTTGCTTTTTCAGTGTCAGAGTTGTAATAACTCAAGTCAGCGACTCAACTGGAGTCTGACTCTCGTCACATTTTTTAAGCACTCGACTCGACTCGACTCAAGTCACTTTGAGCAAATGACTCGACTCGAATCGAATCCCTCATCAGAAGACCCGAATGGTCTGCATGTAGTTAATAAGCCCTGAATCCCCCAAAATAAAAGCAAAATTACAGAAATGAATGACTTGTTACAACTCTGGTTCATAGGCAAATCTTTGATGGCAATCCAGAGAGCAACTTTAATGCTGCATCGATTTCGCCAGAAACCTGCTGGATATATTCTGCTATCCTGAAATTCCTTTTCTTTGGGGATTTATTCTTGTGAAAGGACACGGCAATTAGCCGACGAACAACCCTTCTAAGAAATTTTTTTAATGAGCAAAGTTTGGGTTTACAATATGAATAGTAAACGCAACGAAAACTGAAGTCTTTCCCATTGACGTCACACCAACAGTGCCATCGGTTGTCTAGACAAGCTTGGACAATTTCAAATGTTTAAAAGGGCATTTAAAAAAATACATTTAACATCTTTGAAAGGATGTCACATTGTTTTCACACATTGAAAACGGTATAAAAATTGAAAAAGTGTGTCTTAGAACATTTCATCACATGGATACTGTGAAAGTTACTGTTGTGCCTGCATAAAAATGTTCAATAGTTTGATATCTGTGTCAGGTCACTTGAAGTGAATTTTACAATGGCCCAGAGGCTCAGGTTTCTATTTTGATGAAGCTAAACGTGAGTGTCTCTGCTACCAAGTGTCGTAACGACCGGGGGGATCATGGATGGCACGTGCCCCACCCAGCGGATGCCTGTGCCCCCATGAGCTCCCCCTCCCATTTCAAATCTACCAATGATCTCTGTTGAGTAATAAATAGCTTTGCAGCTGCAACTTATTTTCTTGTGATGCCCCCTTGAAAAAGTGTGTGCACCCCTGGGTGCCTCCCCGGACATTCAGGCCTAGTTACGCCACTGTTGAAGATGATTGATGATATTCGTTTTTTCTCTTTTTCCTTCCTTAAACAAATTTTACTAGACCAACAGCGAAGATGAATGAGGAGATCAGTAACCGTCCACCAACCAATGAGGATTTTGTATTACTGCCGGGCGAAGTTATGTACCGTGAGAGTAGTTTAGATGTTCCGAGGGATGCCAGCAACGCAGACAGAACAGCCTGGAAGCATCTTAGAGGCCAGACTTTGAACACGTCGACGGCTTCCGGAAATCCCAAAGATATCACAAGAGGGCGAAACAGCAAGATTACAGCAAGTCTAGAAATGGGGCCTGATGGTGCAGGACAACAATTGGTCGATAGAAACAGTGCTGATAGTGGTATTAGCAACGGAGTAGGAGCACTGTGCAGGTCCTTAAGTTATGACACTTTCGTTAACTTAAACAAATCCTCACGGGCAACACTTAGAAGGCACACTACACCTGATCTTGTTATTGAACGCACTGATACTGGTCAGGCAATGTCCAGTGTTCAAAACAAAGAGGGACACCTGAGGGAAGATGATCATCTCCCAAATGAGATACAATCTCAGAACGCAACTGGAACCGTTCACAAACGGGAAACGGGGGCCAGAAGGATACGCTCGACCACGATGCGCTTCTTTCGAAGTCTCTGCATCTGTATTCAACGGAGGAGAGAGATGCCGGGCAGCAAGCCCAGTGAGAATCACGGATTTGTACCGGATGGGTCACATTCCTCGTCTTCAGAAGGCAGGTTAATTGCTCGACATGCATCTCTTGGTGAAGCAACTGCCGACAGTCTCTGCACGGAGGGCATTCCTGACCATGCGGTTCCATCTACACAATCACCTCAAAATCTCAAATGGTCAGTATTTGAAAGCATTGGAATTTCGTTGGATGAGAGCACTTTCATTAAACTGTTCGATAGAGCATGTCAAAAGGCTAAAGAGATGGACTACGACGTAGTCGGTCGCGTTGTTCAGATCGCCAACTTTGCTGCCGCTATGCTGGATAGTCGTGGTGGATTTCTGTCTGTTGATGCACTGGATGTTCATCTCTTCATTCCACCCGGTGCCATACCCGCTAATGGACGACCACAGAGAGTCTACATATATGTTCAAGGAAGCTTGACCAGCGGTTGCAATTATCTCACACCTTACGTTCTCTGTGGCCCATCGGAGGTTGACTTCGTGAAGGACGTCATTCTGACGTTGCCACATTGTGCGAAAGTTGACCCCTACAACGAGTTCACCTGTGTAAGAGTGTCCACAAGCGGACTTTCTACAATCCGAGGTGGAAACGAAGGAGCTGTGTGTCTGCAGAGCAAATCTTTCACTATCATGACGAATCATTTTTGTGGATTTGCCGTATTTGGGCCCATTGAAGCCAAGTTTATGCTGGCCTGTATCTTTATCAAGGACAACAAAGATGAGGTGCAAATTCGGGTTCGACTTTTTGATGACACAAAAGCGAATTTACAGGTTAGTAGTAACGGTTAAGGTCAACATGGCAAGCAAAATTTAGACATTTCTGTGAGGTGTTATTGAATAGTTTGAGAGTTTGATCTCTACAAGATGTAAGTCTTTATTTCTGTAATAAAAGCATTTTCTTTCATGGTTGTTATTTTGTTTAAATGGCGCTTTCAGTCACTTAGGCTATTTTCGGCAATAACTTTACGGTTATTACACTACAGAGTTAGGAAGAAGGTCCAGTTTTAGAGGCAAGAGGTTCTTTGAAGGTTATTGGGGGCCAATTATTTATTTATTAGGCATGTTGGCCAGACTCACTTTCACTACTTGAAGTGGACTTTTGACGTGAACAAGCCTTTGTTGATTAACTCATTAATCAACAGATTTTAACACATAAGCACCTGTTCTTGCAGGAAGTTGCTTATAGAGAAATGAAGAATGGTTTCACTTTGGCAAACACGACGAAGCGAATGGAGGTACGACGCACGGGAAGCGACGTGCTGGTTACTTTGAACACTGACCCGAATTCTTGGGAATGTACCAGCCAAGAGGTAAAAATATCAAAGCTAAAAGGTCAATTTTGTTTGACAATCTATCAACATTTTGTCTATTCTGGAAGGGGCCCAAATAAAACCAAGCCTAAATATGACTCGAAGTTATTTTGCGGCCAAATTTTCATCGCATCTATCAACAAAACTTCTCTGAGCTAGTCTGAGTTGAATATTCCTACTACATGTATGTGCATTCTTACAGTGCCAGACCTTTCAACATTCGTCCCTTTGGCGAGAGAGCAGTCAAGACATCGTGCCAGTGTTCCAATCGAAACTGTTCTCTGCCAGATGCTGCAAGACTGGACTACCGTTTACAGCCAACATGAAAGTGTGTCAAAAAGGCAACGAAACTAGTGGTGTGGAATTTGTTCTCGAGAGGCTCCCGACTAGAGTGAAGACAGGCTCCTCAACACACGTAGGGAATCACTCCACATGAAAATTAGAGGAACCAAAGATTCCTTACATCTTCATTGCCCTATGAAATAGCTGGGATGGAATCGTTTTCAGTTTTCTCGAAAATCGTCGCAATGCATTTTATTGTACCCAACCTTCAGGGTTTTTTTTACAGTAATTTCTAATTTTGACATCAACGATTGGGCACACTGTTCTAGCGAGATGTCCATTTTCCCGAAAGCTAAAGTATTTTTTTCTTATGAACCACAGCAAAAACATGTGGCAAATTGAATTTCAACCTCATCAGCTGTGCCTACAATGAATGTTGTCAAGTTACGTGCACGCAAACAGAGTAACAGCTGAGATATTTCAGGGCAGATTCTACCCCCAGCTGTCTTAAAAATGGCTCTTTGACGGTTAGTTACGATCGTTCCTCGTATAACCCCAATGTATCTAGCATGACATGATGAGTGACTTTAATCAATCGTTCTACGTATCTTCCTTCTGATGCAGAGTCTCGAAAAACAGGAACAGCATGCGGGCCATGTGATGTTGGAGCAGATGAAGTCTACGGTGCACACCGACGCCAGGACGCTAGATGACGATACCTACAGACGGTTGTGCAACACGTTGGACAGACCACAGTTCAGTGACTTGAGGCATATGTTTTCAAAGACTCTGCTTGGGCAGAATGGTTGGGACTACGGCGTAATCACATGTATCGAGAAAAGAGCGGGAGTCGGAAGCCGTAGCCCTACCAGTCTTGTTTTGGATACTTTCTTCGCCGCGTCAAAGGGGAACGGCAAAACAAAGCTGAGTATCCTTAAAGAACTGAAGCAAGGTCTTCACAAAATGAACTCCACAGAACCAGACTTCAAATTGCTTGTCGATTCAATCGACAGGGCAATACTAGAGCTTCACCTGCAAATAAGCAAGCGAAGCAATGCGAGCAAAATTCCCTGTACTGTTGGCTCCAGAAAAGAGCCCTTTACTGGTCATGCAAGTCCACAGATATCATCATCCTCAGACAGAAGAGAAAGTCAAAGACCTGCGTCATCACCCCCACATCCACCGTCTGCCAATGACCCTTCGTTGATTTCTAACCAAGATTTAACACTGGACAGGGGCGAATGCTTAGCATCATTCGATAGAATGTGGTCTAAAGCGAAGAGCATGGGCATCGATATTGTCGGGCGTGGGGTTCAAATCGGCAACTTTGCAGCCGCTGTTCTGGATACCAGGGGAGGATACTTGTCCGTTGACGCTTCAAATGTCCACTTTTATGTCCCTCCTGGCGCCATAGCCGCTGACGAGTCTCCTCAGAGAGTGTATATTTTTGTGGAAGGGTGCATTAGCAGTGGCTGTGATTTTCTCACCCCGAGCGTGCACTGTGGTCCGTCGACTCTCCACTTCCGTAAAGATGTCATCCTTACTGTTCCACATTGTGCTTGCTACACGTTAGACTGCAACCTAACTTTCGTTAAGGCTACCAAGGGAAAACAAACAAGGACCATCAAAGATGGTGAAGATGGGGTCGTGGTTGTAAAAAACAAGTCTGTAACACTGACCATGGACCATTTCTGTCGATATGGAGCGTCTGGGTTCACCTCCGGAAGGTATATGCTAGTCTGCGTATTCCTCAACCAAACGAACGATAAAGAAGTGCGGATTCGTGTCCGACTCCTCAACAACACCAAAACTAACCTTCAAGTAAGTCTATTCATTAACTAATTATAGTGGATTTTCAATTTAGCTGATTAACTATTCTGATAACAGCTTAAATTAAACGTTGCTCTCACAGGAAGTCAAGGATGAAGAGAGGGAGTGTGGGTTTCTCATTGCAGACCCTGTCAAGGAACTCCGAGTACAACGTTCAGGAAAGGGTGTTGTAGCGAAATTAAGTTCGACGACAGAGTCCTGGAAAATCACTTATCCCGAGTGCTGCAAACAGGTAGGCACCTGTTCGTATTGTCGCCACCGGTTCTGCAGAAGGCTAGGACCAAGAATTGCAAATGCAAACTTGACCAAATAATAAACAGTCAGAACTGTTCAGCTAAATCAAGTTTCCTTGACTTTTATATTTCATTTCTTGTTGCGACTGTACGCAGGAGATCGAATTCTGTCAATTATGGCGGGAATACAGTCCAGACAACGTCAGGTGCTTCCCGTCCAGGTTGTTTTATGCCAGTCGCCAGTCATCGGAGACAGCCCCCTTTGAGGCTCGAATGACCGTTTTCCAAGTTGATCGAGAGCAACAGACAGTGGAATTCGCTGTTCAAAGGTGTCCAACCGTCGACAATCATCCTGTAAGTGCGTGTCAAACAGTGTCATCTTTCCCGTGCAAGGAAATAAAGCTCGGGAATGAGGAAAAAACTCTCCCCAATATTTCTTATCAAGCGACCGGCCATGGTATTTCTATCAGCATTTTGTTTAAACAGAAAATTGAAGACGAGGTCAGGAATCAATACAAGAGTGTAGATGTCGCTTAGATTATCGGCATAGCTGTTGGAAAGACTGCTGAAATGTTGTAACCTATATTTAATATACAGCATATATAAAAGCACACTCAATTTGATTTCAACTGGATTTTTATCATCATCCTAACTTGTAGACGACACGGCGTTTTTATGGCTTCTTAAGATTGTTCTCCCTTTTTGAGTGTTTATTGAAGACATTGTGGTTGCTGGGAATTCCGGAAAATTCTTCATTTGCTTTAATTCTTCAAATTCTTTAATTTTCTCACCAAAGACTCAATTTTACAAATTGAAAGAGTTTGCCCCCTTACATTTTCTCGCATTATGGCAATGCTGTTTCTCAAGCACCAAACCTTCATGAGTTCTTTTAGTCAATGTCTTGTGGTCATTTTAGCAAAGCGCATGATTAGTCTAATATGCTCAACGCACGTGGGCTGACACACATGGCCATGCATAAACTTCAAATCAATGTGACGTTAAACTTCATCTTTACACAAATGAATGCCTTTACACACAAACAGGATCTAAGAACAATAAGGCATTGGACAGCCTAGTTCTTGGGACCTGCCTCCAGCTGTTCGGCGAACCTAAAAAGTCCGTCTCATTTAAGGTTAATTTTAACGTGAGAGCTTTTTAGAGAATCACTCTAGGCCTAATTCATTGGATCGCACTCTGTTGTTTTGTTGCAGAACCCCTGTTTATCATCCAAAGACCTTGATCACCTCTTTTGGCGCATGCTTCAAGAAGAAAACGTTGCCCCAGTCCACAGCAGTATTCGACCGATTGATGAAGACACTTTCACCAGACTCTGTGAACTACTGGATACACCGAGGCATGTCGACTGGCACCATCTCCCTGAATTCCTGTATGATAGGCGAGAAGATCGCGGAACAGCATACGTCCACAGGATTGAAGCACGGGCCGGGCGCGAACGACGAAGTCCCACAGAACTCGTCCTGGACTTGTATTTTGCTGAATCTAAGGACAGAGGCAAGTACAGAGTGCATACCTTGCTAGATTTGAAGCAAGCTCTAATTGGATTCAGCTCCAAAAGGCCAGATGTAGGCTTTGCTATCGCTGCCATTGATGTCCAGCTGGAGGATGGTGAACTCACTGAAAGCACAACAGTTCAAGAAAGCCGTGTTTCATTAATTAGGGAACATGCCAAAGTGCACAAAACACACTCTAGTGAAAGTGGCTTTCTAAGTGGCGTTGAAGACGAAGGCCAAGGGGTGTAACTTTCGAAGAGAAGTTTTGATTATGTCGGGTCCAGTGAAAATTTTTCTTCCAATTTTTGACAAGTTGTAGTTCTGCTGTCTGTTTGTAAGCAGAAATTGTCATGACATTGGTTGATGAATTTACATTTTTTATGATTATTTTATGATCTCGCTCGACTGGCACTTATATTTTGATCGTTTTATTTTTGTAAAACAGGTTGATACTGTTGGAGCTCGATAATGCGCAAGACACATTCAATAACTTTTTAACAGGGTTAAAATATTAAGCGGAAACACACGGAGTGGAATTTGTAAAGCGAATGTCTCAGTGAACACATCGGGAGGAGTTAACAAAGGCAGTTTAGGCTACAAATAACTCTTGTCTGATTTGTGGTTTATGTAAAACATGAAATGCAGTTATGTGTGATAGGCCTACTCTACTTGTATTCCATTCCAGATTCATTGTGTTTTAGGTCAACACACGGTAGATATCTTCTACTTGATCGTTAAACATAATAAAATGTATGCTTGTTTCATTTTATTTCTTCACTGCTTTCGCATTTCTGTACATAGCCCTTAAGAAGAGCGATTTTTGTTTGGTTTGTGAGACCGCCATGTCTTAGAAACAGCCAGGGTTGAAGTAAAGAGAGGTCACTATAAGAGGTATAAGTTCTCAAATTGAAGTAAAATTTAGGTAGTGTAAATCTTAAATACAGGAAAAAGATAATCGATGACTCGCGGTGTCGTGTTGCTGGTAGCGACGTTTCGGCTGCTGGTGCTGCTAGCCATCACCCGGCAACTGAAATCTGGATGCTGGACCGCGTCCTCCCCGTGTCCCCCGCCGTGTATTGCGGACGTAGTACGGGTGACCTCAGCGGGCGTCGCACGCTCCACTCCATGGCGTTGAGGGGGCGTGCCCTCGGTGTTGCTCCGTTGCGCTCCGGTGGTTGTGTTGGCGGATGGTGGGGAGCCAGAACCCGGGGATGTCGATGCCGCTGTCCCTGTTGATGTTGTGTCCATTTAGGCAGATTTGGATGGCCTCCTTGATGCTGGTCTTGGTCCACGCACTGCACGTGTAAATCTTGGTAGTGTTATTTTGATAGGCAGTTGTTTAATTTTGAAGACAACTCATCCCACATTATTTTTAACTTGTTTCTGACCAGAACATTCTCTGACATTTCTGGCTCAAATCGCAAGTTTGAGCCAGATAAATGCAAACTGAATTTCTTGGCTGCGGCTTGAGAAAACACACGACTCTACGGTATAGTTGCTGCAGTCACATCCAATAGAGTTGTGTGTGATTTCAAGCCGCATCAGCCAAGTAATAACTTCGGACACTTAATTATACTGCAAATTGTAACGTAATAATGGTGGCGACTTTACCATTGCTTCGCTCCTAAGAAGCAATAGGGCAACGAAACACAATCTCAAAGGTGTAGGTGATTGACATTTTGGCCACGGTTGGCCAAACGCCAATCTAAATGCATTATTGTACGGTGTGGTTATTTTTTTATACGTAAGTACATGTATGTATTTAAATTGCCACTTGTATTTACTGGGTTCAGCGCTCATAGTGAAACACAGCCAGGGGCAGTACAAAGTGGCAGAATGAAACGGACTAGATAAATGCTATAGTCGAGACCATCATAACACCAGGCACAAGACCAGACATATTAACCACAGGACCATGTATAAAACCAATACAACACCAGGAACAAAAAGACCAGGCACAAGACGAGACAAAAAACCATTCGCAAGAACCGTCATGAGACCAGACAAAGGTAACCAAGTGAATGGTAAACAAAGGAATGCTTTTGTTACAGTTCATTTGAATAGTTGTGACTTTAATTCTCTCTGTGTGTCTTGTGTTGGTCTTGTGATGGCCTTGTTGGCCTGGATAACTTTCAAGAAAAAGATTGGGACGATGAAAGCAACCTGGCACTGGCTTCGGTGACTAGCAAGAATGCAAAGTGGGGTGGAAAAATGAAAAAAAAAACCCAAAACAAAAACAAAATAATGAATAGTGTGTGACTGGCATTTCCAAAATCATTGTCATTTCATCCACACCGGACGACTATTCAGTTTTGAAGAGGGCAAATAACATTAATACTGGCTAGGAACAAGAATCTTCGGATATTTTGTCTTGAAATGAAGGCTTTTTAATTCACTGAATATAACGATCAGCAGGAAATAGAGTAGTTTATGAACTGAGAAACAGAGTACCGTGTAACTGTTCTCCTTTTCGGCACGGAAGGAAAAGAAGGCTGTTAATACCGAGCGTTGCTTAGAGAAAGAAATATCTGTTTTTTTCTGTCTAAGTTGTACAGGGTGATGTGGGTGCTACGGAGGCTCTCTCCCGACAAGCAAATGCAGTGTGTTGGGCTCCGCAAATCTAAAATGGAGGGTGCGCTTGTTAGGTCGAAGACTCGTTGGATGGAGAGAGGGGAGAAACCTTCCTTAATTTGGAAAAGCGTAATCTTGTTAACAAATCAATCACCTTTACTGTTAACAACGATAATTCTAGACTGACACAGAGTGAGGACATTCTTTTAGAAACTAGTGAATTTTATAGCGCCTTGTATTCTTACAGGAAAGTAGACAGAGTTAATTTACACTCCACTTTGAGCAAGGTAGCACTCCTGTTCTCTCCGATACTATGTGTGACCAAATGTAAGGTCCGTTGACCCACGAAGAGCTCGTACGAGCCCTTAAGAGAAGTAAAAACGAAAAATCTCTGGGTTTTAGTTTCGAATTTTACATGTTTTTGTTAATGATCTGTCATGGTTCCTCCTCCGATTACTGAATTTTGCCTACACTGTAGGTCAATTGTCAGTCACTCAAAAGAATGGTATTATTACTCTTTTGCCAAAGGGTGATAAACCCCGTCAGTTTCTTAAGAACTGGCGCCATATCACGCTTCTCAATACTGCTTATAAACTAGCGTCTGGTTATATTGCTCAGAGGATTAAAACTTGTCTTCCACAAATTATCCACGATCGTCAGAAAGGTTTCATGGCCGGCCGTTACATTGAGGAAAATATCTAGACCATGTACGACTTGTTTTGTGTCGCCAAAGTACAAATATTCCAGGGTTACTTCTTTCGGTAGACTTTGAAAAAGATTTTGATTCAGCTTCTCACGACTTTTTACTTTAATGTTCTCGACAACTTTAATTTCGGTACCTCCATTAAAAAATGGATTCACGTGTTTTATGACCATCGACCTCCTCTGTTTAGTTAATGGTTTAGTCTCAGAATCTTTTGATATAAGGAGAGGTTGTAGACAAGGCTGTGGTTGGAGCCTATATTTATTTCTTTTATGCGCCGAAGTACTCTCTCTGATGTTATGTAATGATCAAAATGTGAAAGGTATTGAGGCGGATGGTTCTGAATTCTTGGTATGTCAGTATGCTAAGGATACAATTCTGTTTCTCGATGGAACTGAAAGATCTATGTACGGTGCTTTCAATGTTCTTGACCATTTTGCAAATATTTCTGGATTGAGAGTCAATGTAGATAAAACTAATGCTGTTTGGTTTGGATCAATGAAAAATTCCAGTGTAAAAGTATGTAGACCTAGGGAACTCATGGTTAAATGGATCAATGCCCAGGATACTTTTAAAGTACCCGGCATTTATTTTTCAACAGATCTGTGTTCAATAGCCTCGCCTAATTATAACAGAGTGTTGTTATCGCTGAGGAAAAACATTGCTCAGTGGTGGAAACGGAATTTGACGGTTGCTGGCCGAGTGACTGTAGTTAAATCTCGTCTGATGTCGAAACTTACGTACTGTGTATTGACCATCCCTGACCCTCCAAAGTATATTGTGGATGATCTGAACAACATGTTTTTCTATTTTATTTGGAAGGGAAAAGGTCGTGTTACTAGAAACCAGATGGTTCAAGACTACATAGTGCATGGGTGGCTTGAAGATGATAGATACTAGAGCTTATATCGATGCTCAAAATTACTTGGCTCCGTAGGCTTTTAGTTTCAGAAGGCTCTGCCTGGTCACTTTTGGCCCATGTTATACTTGGTACCTATAGTTCGACGGTTCTCGAAGGGGGTTCTTTTCTTTGGTTCACTGCCGATAACCGTTTATATGTACATAATCAATTTTGGGCCGATGTATTGAACTCCTGGTAAAAATTTACCTCTTGTCATAAACCTGTGTCCCACAAAGACGTCTTAAAAAGTAGTCTTTGGTTCAACAATCTTGTTAAAGTTGGTAACAAATGTATTTATTACAGACACAGGGCGTCGGCCGGTATTCTTTATGTTAGTGATCTTCTAGAAGACAATGGAAGGTTTCTACCACTTAATTCTTTGAAAGACAAATTTAACGTTCGTACAAACTTTATTGAATACGGTGCTGTTGTTAAAGCTGTTAAGTGTACCTTCCAACATATATTTGAAACGGAGAACATGAATGTGAACCGCCCCTTCATTCCTTTTAATTTTGAAGTTCTTTTACGGGAGAAGAGAGGTTCTAAGAGATTTTCCCAGACTTTTATTACTTCAAAGAAAGTAGTAAGGAAATACGTAGAACAGTGGAATAACAAGCTACATATTGACGACGATTTAAGTAAATGGTCCTTAATTTTCAAGGTTCCTTTCTCATGCACAACTGACACAAAATTAAGATGGTTTCAGTTTCGTCTAATCCATAGAATACTGGGTAAAAATTCATTTCTTTTCAAAAGTAACAAGGCTGATTCCAACACTTGTCCTTTTTGTAAAACTGAGGAAGAATGCCTAGTTCATCTTTTCTGTAGCTGTACTTATTCAGGAAACTTCTGGTCCTCTCTAGTTTCGTGGATTAAGGAGAAAACATGTATAAGTTTGTACTTGGACAATCAGGCTATGCTATTTGGTAATATTAATGTTACTTTAGAATGTCTTAATTTAATACTTCTATGTGCTAGATTCCATATCTATAAAGCGAAGATGAACAATAGACTCCCCTCTATCTTAGTTTTTACAGGAAGGTTAAGCTGTACTATCTCTGTGAAAGCATTTATCTACTGTAAACAGTGATAATCGAAGATTTAGTTCAAAGTGGGACTTATATTGGGCTTTTTCAGGAGTGAGGTTACCGCGACACTCATTTTGGTGATTACTTTTCCATATCTAGTTTTAATAATGTTCAGAAAAATCTAATGTATCTTATGTTATGTGAATGTGAACTAAAGAAAGGGAAATGCATGAGTTACCCGGAAAAATTTCACTGCATAAATCACTTACCTTTGCGAATCGGCTTCTTAATAACAAAGTCTGTAAACTAAAGAGATTAATGGGTGAAAAATGAACGAATAAATATGAAAATTTTCATCCAAAGACTATTGAATGACTTGTCGAACAGGGAAGTGGAACTCATTTACGTATTTAGTCGAACTACAGTCAAACAAACATCATGACAGTTTGTGGTACCAACTCTCCCGCTGGTACAAAGAGACTTGAAATCACCTAACGTTGATGTACCTGCAGGGGGCCGGGTATATTAATGGAATGCTCACCTTGAGCCCACCCCAAGCAACGTAGGAATTGAATTCTTTCTTTTTCCAAATATTTATATTTCATAGTACTGAATTCATATTTCGCAACAACTTTGATAAGATGAAGTAATCTGGGTGATGCCCCTTGATAAGATGAAGTAATCTGGGTGATGCCCCTTATTTTTTTAGAAGTGGTATTCCTTTTATAGCTGAAATCAGTGAGCTAAATGCAGACGGAACCACTTTCAAAAGAAAATAATTTTGGGGGAGAACTTGAACCCGTAAACAACGAAGTTTGATTCTTCGTCATGCATAGAAAGGCATTGTCTCCATTAAACATTCATCATTTTGTGCTCAGATACTTCCGTGTTGCAACACATCAAACAATTTCATTTTTCTGACTTGTTTGAATAACATACGTTCACGTTTCACGTACTGGGGTGACATCTCTCCAAAAACACGCCATTGTCAAGGTACTGAATGGACTAGCTGGCTCGTTCGACGTGTGCTGTACGCCATAATTCGCCATTTCCTTGTTTTGAAATTTCGAAACAATTTTAAAACAGCCTTTTCCAGCGCACTCTGGACTTAGATAGCAGCGAGGAAACCCCTCTTTAGGTAAGTTGACCTTACCTTTAACTTCACCGGACCAAATATTTATGGAATTTCTTAATTTTGGCTATAGAAACTGTGCAGAAACCCTTGTTAACGATTGATTGTGATCACTGCACTGAGGGTTTCCAGACGAGCGGACGGCCGTAGCGACGCTGACAATGGCTACCGCTCTGCATCGCTTTGTAATGCTACGGTAGGTTCATGCGTGTATCCACATGTGGAAGCATTCCTTGGGGAAGGAACCTTTTCAAGTTGAAAGATTCGCCATGTATGGAAAGCAAGTGCACCATTGGATTTGAATTCGCATATTCATTGCTTTTGTTTACAAATAAAGTTAAAAACTAGGATTTCAGCTGTCTGCTGTTTTGAAAAGATTTTGTTGAACTGACAAGACAGCAAAATACAAAATATTTTGTATATTTGATTGCCATTCGTAGGTAGTCAATTACGCCATTCAACTGTATAACAGACCTTATTTCCTTTATGTTAAATATTTTATGTAATAGATTATTAACTTTAGACAATTTAATACATCTTCCTGGTTTCACTATTTACTTTACTGTTTGTTTTGTTCGTGCGTCTGAAAATGTATGAGCTGATACGAACATCTCTTTCCGCTAATTCTTAGTTTGTGCTGGGCAACACCAAAAGGGTGAAATAGCATGGTGTTAAGAAACACTTTTAGGCCCTGGTTTTCGCGACATATTGCTGCTGCAAACCTGCCAGAAATCCGAGTTAAAACTCTTGAAGGTTTGTTAACAAGTGCAATCACGTGTGACCGTGTTTGGTTGAGGCAAACTTTCCTGCACTCTTTGACCTTTTCTAAAGAAATGGTGCTAGTGCATAACTTATGAATATGAATTGAGGTTAAGGGATAAAACTTTCCGCACAGTTGGATCCCTTGTGTGAGTGACAATGAATATGGGATATGTTGAGGGTAAAACTTTCAGCGCAGTTTGATCTTTTGTAAGAAAAAGATTGCGCATTGCAACGTATGGAAATAATTATAAGATGGTCATTTTGACCGAAGAGGTCTAGCGATTACCGACCCTGTAGTACAATAATTAATGGATGTTGAGTAGATAATCCATGTACAATGGACGAGAGAGGGCTGGTACGTGCAAACACGCTAACCATTAACTTTCTTAATACATGTATTTCAATTGAGTGTGTTTTCCAACTAATAAAACGGTACAACGTAGCCGGATTACTGCATGCCTGTAGAGTGATTACCATAGGTATTTCATATTTTACATCAGAGTCATATTTTAATTACAGGAGTCTTTTGGAACCATTAATATTTATCATTACTATCTCCCTTGTTAATTTCCTCCTCTTTATTTTGCTGCAACAGTGTCAGACTTTAAACATGGGATTTAGGCATGACTCAAGGCTTTATTTGCTTCCATGCCTTTATTATGTTTTTCTTCGAAATCGTCCACAATGTCATGATGAGTTTCATTTTCCTTCAGATGTAGGTAACCTAACAGAAACTCCTTGTGATTGTCGAATGAAGACTTGCTTAACTGCTCCGAGGGTCTTCCTGTTTGCCTTTTGCCGTGCTTGATATTCATCCATACCCTCGTCGGCATGCTTGTCATATTTTTCACTCCACCTCCACATTTCTCTGTTGAATTCTTTGGCCTCTACCAGCCAATCCTGGTAGGCGACACTGTATTCCAATTCTAAACAAGACACATCTTTACCTGAGGTTTTGCGACCTCCTGACCGATTCCAAATCATCGTCAACTTCATTCATGTCTGGTTCCTCTTCAGTGTGGATATTTCTCTGTACCTCCGTAGATTAGATTTCCGTTCAATTTTGTCACACTGGTGACAAGTTTATGGTTTGTACATAAACCTGGCAATCATGTTGAATCTTTGAACATTTTGAAGGTTTATCTTTGAAAGAAAATGACTGAAACAGGACTGAGTGATAAAAGGAACCCAAAAAAGTGCAACGCTCATCAGCAATTTGCCAGAACGTCAGGTACACATGCGCAGATCATACACAGTCCATACCCCCCAGATGCAACCGCGTCGAAAAGCTACTAAAGCCTGCAACAGCAACTGGAACGGAAACAGTATCTGACCACAGTTCAACAATTGCTCAACCCCAAAACAACAGACTAAAGTAACTATCAAGGACGGCATAACCTTTAACACGCTTCCCGGTGCCTTTTCTATTGCTCATCTGAATATACGGAGCCTAGTAAAGAACCTCGACCAGCTTAAAATTATTATGTCTATGGCTCCTTTCAACATCCTTTGTTTGAATGAAACATTTTGCGACAATTCAATTTCAGATGAGGAAATCAAACTTCCAGGCTTTGAAATTGTCAGAAAAGATACAAATCGCCATGGTGGTGGGGTTGCCATATACATTCGCTGGAATTTGCCTTATGCCCGGCGTACTAATCTGGAGACGGTCGGCATTGAATGTATTTGGGTTGAGATAAAGCACAAGCACAGAAAATCTGTTCTTGTATGTTCTGTTTATAGGCCCCCATCGACACCAGAGGTATTTATCGACAAACTAAATGATTTGCTAGATAAAGCATCTTGTGATTGTAAAGAAATGCTTATCTTGGGTAATTTTACTATTGACTCCTTAAATGCAAATTCATCCTTTAATTTATTGTCCTGTTTTATTCTTTATCAGCTAGCACAACTTATCCGAGATCCAAAACGAGTTACAAAGACCTCCAAAAGTGCCGTTTGTTACCTCTCGGCCAGAATTAATAACTGAAAGTGGCGTTTGCTTATTGTAGTTAGCGGTCACTATCTTATCTATGGTATACATGAGTGGAACAATCCGAAACTGAAAGGCGGCTATATTAATTTCAGATCGTTTGCGAACATTAATTATGATGCGTTTGCAGATGATCTTGCTGCTGCCCCATGGCATCGCGTTTTTATTGTCACAATGTTGACGATGCTTGGTCTTTGTGGCACTCTACACTAATGAATATTATTGATTTACATGTTCCCGTAAAAACTAAACGTGTCCGTAGTACATCTCTGCCCTGGTTAAGCACCGAAATTGTTCATCTGATGCGCGCGTGTACGTGACCGCATCCACACAATGGCTGGACGGACGGTCTGGTTCGCCCAATGACTGGGTCAATTACAAAAAGTTACGTAACATGGTGACTTCCAAAATACGATTTGAGAAGAGCAACTATTATGTTTCCACAACTGAGTTGAACAAAGGCAATTCTTCTACCATCTGGAAAACAATTAAGGGGATCCTTCCCAATAAAGAAAAGCCAGTTCCCAATTCGGTTGTAGTAGATGGTGAGCATTCAGAAGGTCACAGCGACATTGCCTACGCATTCAATGAACACTTTTCAACTGTAGCCAAGTGTATGGTTGGTAACAGGTACGCTCAGAATAAGAGTGATGGTAGCGATAATCTCCATGTTTCAGCGCACCACGAACGCAAGTTTATGCTGTCTGAAATCACTGAAGCTTTTGTGCAAAAACAGATCGATTCAGTGTCAGCTAGGAAAACTACAGGCCGGACGGCAAGATAAGGAGAAAAACAAGGAGCAACAAAAGAAGCAAAAGGACCTAAAAGAGATTATTGTTTATTTTTGCATTTGCTCCTCTCTGTGTTTTTTCTGTGCTCTTTTTTGTTGCTCCCTTTTGCTCTAGTTTGCTCTTTTTTCTCATTCCTCTCATACGTAGCGCAATCCTTTCCTTACAAAGGTCAAGCTGCAGTGCATAAAATTTTACCCTTGCACCTACTCCATATCCATTCTCACTGATGCAAAAGGTCAAACTGTACAGAAATTTAACCATTAAAATTCATCTACATAAGGTATACCCGACCTTGTCATATTTCTTAGCAAAGTGTGCCGAAAGTCCACGCCAACTACTTTGGGTGGAATCTTTTCTTCATATACCTGCCGCGGATGCTTAAAAATGTGATTACCCCTTTTCTGGCGTGGTCTTCGTACAAGCAAATACAATGCGACGACTTTGCATATTGTAGCGTGTGTAAGGTTAGAACGGCCTGACGAATTTGATTCGATATTTATAAAGGCCTGAGACACGGGAGCCGATTGACGCAACAGTAATTTGGTTAAATCTGAACAACAACGGTTGATTATGGATTTATGAACACCGCACAAAGGGGAAAATATATGAATGGGTCCAACCCCCGTTAAAAAGTTTCAGAAATGTATATTGCCTGTTGTATTCTGTGAGAAGAATATTTAAATGCGTGCTTAAGAAATCAGTGTTTGGATGTAAGTTGACAAGTTTAAGAAACAACACCAGAAAAGCTGTCTCTAAAAGTCTAGAAAATCTGAGTTATGTGCTTCATTTGTGAGAGTCCTCGACGGCCGTATTTCTGCAACTCAAAAAGCAGATGCTGCGTGTCAGCACTAGTTAAAATTCTTAGAGTAACTTGTATAGCTTCATGTATATAAATTAAAGTTAGCTTTAAAGGGCTTCGTGATGCTTTTTTTGCCCATAAGCTATGCAAAAATCATTCCAATTGTCTGTTGAATAAAAACATTTAGGAAAATAACAATGAATGTAATCTATATTGTCACCAACGTCAGACGAAATATAAACATGCTCAACATGTTCATTTTAGTTTGGTTTCATTTAATGAAGAACATGCGGTAGGAAGGATGCATTTTAGAAAAATGCAAAAAAATGTTACGTTTTTAATACTCCTTGGGCCATGTCAGATAAGAGAACATTTTAAGGAATCTAAATGGAATTTTGTTATTTCATGTTACTATATGAAATGTACAGAATAAAAGTTCAGCCCCTTCAGTCTGCTAAAACCTTTTAGTGTTTCCATCCAATGACTAGACATTTTCTGAGTTCTATTCAAGCTTATAGCGACGGGGGGAGGGTGAATATAAAAGGAAAGGATACGCATGAATTCGCTTTCACCTGCATCGGGATTTCCCCAGGAATTTCCATGTCACTTTTAAAGTACTGAAATTCCTGTATTGTATGCAAATAATGAAAACTTCATTCAAGACCGAACGAAAGGGGCTGAAAGGAAAGACATGGGCCTGTTCAGTGCACACTTTGAAAAACCTTACAGGAAATAAGTTTACTGATCAGGCATTACGGTTATAGGGTGGGCCAAATGTAACAACTCCAATGGTTAAAAGGAACACAAGTTTAATAATATTTTAGTTAGTTGTATAACTTCAGTTTACACTCTGTCTGTTCGGTTCAATTCCTGACACTTTAATACAGGGTGCCTAATTGAGCTTGTAATCATAAATGCACTATACCATATGGTATCCCCTGCGTGGGAAAAATGCCAATAGTTTGCACGCAGGTCATATCTCACAACGCTTCGTATGGGGTTTTGATGTTGACCAGTACACAATGTTGCTGACAATGTTGTTGTTTCCTTGACTCGTTCCAGGTATTAAACCATGAGTCAGAGACGTCGAGCAAGTGCGGCAGACACCATTGCCCCAGCCTCACCCACCGGCGGCCGGCAGTCATCGCTCATCGAAGATTACGATGGTAAAATTCCAATCGTGAATAGAATGAGCCGCGACACGACAACTTTAGATGAAGGCTTCGCGTCCTTGGGGAACTTGAATGATGACAGCAGGGAAGATGCTCGGGTAACGCCAGGGTCTTTCTGCAAACATCGACGACCCGTCAGCAGTTCCTCGTTCACAACCACGTCTTCATCAGAAAATGAAAACATTATTGGCGACACGAGGCTGGCAGGAGTAAGTGGAGAAGCGGAAAGGTCCCTTATGGAAGACAAAGAAGGGTCGTGCAAAGCTCAAGAAGGGGAAGGAAGTCCGGGTGCATCGGAGCTACTTGGCAAAGGAAATAACATTAGCGTTCCCCTTGCCACACCAGGCCTATCTGTCAAGGCTGACTACAGATGTTCACCCAAGAGATTACCAAGGGCATCTTTTGACGAGGCTGCACAAGTGGTCATGAAAAATGGTACAAAAAGTGGGCTGGTGACTCAGGTCACAGTGGACTCCATCAACCTGAACGAGGTTTACTCGTACGCGCCGAACGAACGCAAAGGAAGCGATGTTAGTGAATTCTCGCTGGTGGATATCGGATCAGAGCGGAGCAGTAGTGTAGATAGCGCCATCGACATGACCTTAAGATCCAGAGCCAGCGTGGCAAGAGCTTCTATTTATGAGCCCATTTTGGAGTCTGCTGATCTGGAGGAGAGGGCAGCGGAGCCCAATGTCGGAACTGAGGAAGGTGGAGACCTGCAGGTACGTCCACCGACTCTGGATTTTCCCCAACATCCTCCAGAAACTTGCCAGACTGAGCTCCGGATAAGTGCCGTCAATTTGCACAGGCCACATCCATTTGTGCGGTTTGTCCGATATATTTTACGTTTACTGAGCATCTGCATTCCCCGCTCACTAGCGAGGTCCGTCCCAGTGCCATTAACAAACTACGCATTCTCGGGGAGCGAAGAAGATGAGACTCATCCGTCAGCAGCTGAGGATCGTAAGTCGTCTGACGCCCAGAACTCTTGTTTCCCACCACCGACTCTGGAGCCAACGTGGCGATCACACCCAACGCATAACCCACAGCCATCACCACCGCCACCACCAGTCTCACCACCTTCCACCCCACGGGCATCTGCAAGCTGCCCCCCTGACATTCCTTTGAAAGATTTTCTCTTGTCATTTGATCGCACGCGTTCAAAAGCGGAAGACGCGGGCCTGAATGTCATTGGACGAATGGTTCAGATCGCCAACTTCGCTGCCGCCATGCTGGATAGTCGTGGCGGGTTTCTGTCCATTGATGCCTTGGATGTTCATCTGTATGTCCCACCCGGTGCCATACCTTTTGCGGAATTACCTCAGAGAGTATACATCTATGTCCAAGGAGGTCTGACCAGTGGTCGCAACTACGTCACTCCGTACGTCCACTGTGGACCCTCGGGATATCATTTCAAAAAGGATGTCGCCTTAACCTTGCCGCACTGTGCAAAGGGTGATCAGGAGTTCACTTTCGAGAAGACTTCATCGGCAAGAAGCACAGTCCTTCAGGATCCAGATGTTGCCGTGCTCATTCAGTCAGAATCGGTCACCTTGACGATGGATCATTTCTGTGGAATTGGAGCCCACGGGTCCTGCAAATCCTTACTAGTCTGTGCATTCATAAAACATATCGGAAAAGACTTGTACATCCACATTCGAGTCTTTAACAACACGAAAGTAAATTTCAAGGTATTAGTTCATTGAATCTCTGAAATGTAAAATACGAATCAACTGCAAAAAGTGACCTGAAACACATAAATCAAATAGAGCACCTGACCTTTCGACCCTAGCAAAACAGGTTTCAAAGGCAGGTGCCTATGAGACGGGTTCTGATAGGACAAAAAACGTCAGGCCCTGTAAGTTTTAATTTTTTCAAGGTGCTCGTTTGAGAATATGTTTCATTTGAAAACATATATCCCTTATGTGAGTCGTTATATTCTTCACTATTCGCCGTTGTTTAACTATCTTGCAGCTGCTTGCTTGCTTGCTTTCTGTCAACAGCAGGTTCTTTTTTATTTTGTAGGAAGTTGAAAAGGAAGAGCAAGATCAGGGATTCGTTTTAGGACCCTCTCGCCAGGAATTGCTGGAGCCACAAAGGGAAAATCCAGTCGTGATCACATTTCAATTATCGACGGAGAAGTGGGAAATCACTCATCCAGAGTCTACACTTGTTGCTGAACAGGTATACACTTAGGCTAACGAAAACGAAATAACCTACTATACCACCGCACAAGCCGGCGCTGTATAAGCATGTAAGCTATAGTCACTTCTCACTGGGTGGAAATGACGTCATACAAAGAAACAGCATCAAAGACGTCTTAAACTATAAGTCATTGATCAACTCGCAGTTGTAGGCCCAGGAATGACTTGCAATAGACCAGCATCTGATTTATCATTGTTTCACTTTCAGAGAATCCAACCTGAGTACTTATGGAGACAGTGCAGTTCAGATTCCGTGGAAACTTTCCCATCGAAATCGTTTAGTGCACGTTGCCCCTCGCTGTCAGGCAGTGACACATTCAGTGGCGTCTTGAGGGTCTTCCAAGAGGGGAAGGAAGACGCCGCCGTCGTACTTACCATAGAATCACCGGGGAAGGTCGGCACTTTCAAGGTATGATTCCTTTCCGAGGGATTTCTGTTGTAAATGCACGTAAAATGTTTCAAACATTCAGCCCCCTCTTTCTAAGTTCTGCTTTTAGGTTATAAAATTTATTTCCACCCGTGTTAACTGTGCAGAGGGCGCTCTGCCAATTAATTTCATTGCAAGACTCCCTACAGCAATACGCTACCTGTGCATTAATTTCCAAAGTAAAAGTAGAAACGGACAAAATTCTCAAAAGACAGAATCTATATCATGAATATTGATTGAATTTGGCTTCAATGTGTTATTTTAACACCCCTTAGTTTGCACACTAATTCCTGTCAAATGGATTTTCTTTTTTTAAACAGAAACATCCGACATCCAACGAGTTGGACGCTTTGATGTTTGATGAGCTAAAACGATACGACAGGATCTGTGTCGCTGGATTAATGGATCCATGTATTTTCAACAAGCTTTGTGATAAACTTGACAAGCCACTGGATGGAGGCACGAACTGGCACCATCTCCCAGAGTACCTAATGGAGGACGGTGATCATGGCCACGGCTGGGTCGCGAGCATCGAAGCGAAGGCACGAAGTCAAGGTCGTAGTCCAACAGAACTCGTCCTCATCACGTTTTTCACAGCTTCCAGAGGAAAGGGAAAGCAGCAAACCTTGAGGGATCTGAACAGTGGTCTATCTAAATTGTGCGAAGCACGACAAGATATACAGTTTGCCGTAGATGCCACTGAACGGAAATTAAGGGAGTGTGAGGATGAAAGTAAACTAACAAATAAGAAAAGACAGTCAAAAGACAGTAAATACTATTCCTCAGCCAGTGTTCCCGAAGAATTCTTCAAAACAGTACAGATAGTTGAAGGTCCTTTAGTTTGAATTCGTTTGCTCCTGCTCTTTACCCTGGTGAAACAGCAACAACCAAGAGATATTGAAAAGAACTTCAAGGTAACACGGTGACTAGGGAATACCTTCCTCCATCTAATTTTTGACCATAAATTTATATGTAGTTTTCTCGAAAGAAAAATAATAATAGATATGAACGGCCAGGTGAAAAAGCCCAGCATTTAAAAAGTCATTTCCCCATTTCTCTTGACAATACTTGCCGGGCAGAGGTTTAGGGTCAAATAGCGGTTGTACAGTATATTGCCGTAATCTTACGTGGTGCATACTTCATGATTGTATGGAAGATCTAGGTTAATGATGAATTAATCATGGTTATGGAAATCAAGATTATTTCTAACTGGTCAGTATTTGTCATCTTTAATGAGCATTACTTTCAGATCATAGGTCCGTATACTTCATTCTGCCGAAGTGCATAGAATAACCCTGTTGTCATTTTCCCACAATGGGTTACATCGAAGACTGCCAATGCGGCCTTTGATCTTTGCTGCTATCAAATGGCATTAACTGATACTTAAAACTGATTTAAAACACCAAAATAACTTGAACATGAATTCGCTGCAGTTCTATTGAATCCAAGCAATAAAGTAGTTGTTGGCAAAATGAGATCGGCGACCTGTTTAGAAACATGGAGTACTGCAGGTACACACGCACTACACGTGTTTCCAGAGATTGAACATGACCCAGTTCGTTTTCCAACTGCACGTTATGCACATTTCACTATTTTGGATCTCGACCCCTGGGTGAAAACGGGATTAATACGCACAAGTGTGTAGGTCTGGTGGCAACCTGAGGTGCACTCTGAACTGTTTCATTATTTTTCGAAAAAAAAAATTACACTTCTTGCAAAAATGTATCTACTAAAATGACCTATGAAAGTATGCTGCAAACTGCTTAAAAATGTTGCCTTCATGGCAAATAACAATTTTACGCACATGAAGCGGATTGCATTATCGATATCTTGGATAAAAACGTGCAGCTTTGGCGTCACATTACTGGAGTAACATACTAGCTTATTCGTTAAATCCGGTTTAAACGTCAAAAAGAGTGACGTGCATTTAATCAAACAGATCTCACTCGGGTACCTTTCTCAATAAAACAGAAACATTTCCCCTCTGAATTGTGTGCTCTTTAAATGAAAGGGTTAAAGTTCACTCTTTGAAAACAAAAAGTACAAGTCAAGATGAAAGGCCGTTAGTGTACATTACGTACGAAAGGTGGCAACTGCTTTACCGAGAATACCAATGCTAACTCAGTAACAACTTCGAAAAGTAACTTGATACAATGTTCTGACATGAACTTTTAAATTATAAATAGTTCGTGAAAATCCTATTGTGCATAGACCCTAGACAGAAATTCCCATGCCTTTTTGTTTATTTTGTGGTTGTTATAATGTAACTGAATATATTCAGATTTTGTATTAGTCAGACTTAAAATATAAACATCTATCAAAAATATCGCCATACACATTATTTTTTAAGTATATTTATTCTGAAAATACCTTCTATATTATACTCAGGTATGACGGTGTCTAAATTGGGTGACATTAGTTCTTAGTTTGAACTTTACCGTCCTTATGTAGCTTCGCTTAATTCTGACTAAGTCACTCACGGGCGATTCATAATTATGCGCTTCCAAGAGTTGGTCAATGCGCGAAATCTGTCGACTTTCCAAACGAGCATTGGGTCGACAGATTTTGCGCATGGTGATTGGCCAGTGCGTTGCAAACTCTTGGAGGCACACTATAGTCATACGCCCGTGGTACTTTGTAAAGGTAAAAATAGTGTTATCTCATTAACATGCAAAAATACAAACAAACGGGTTGAGTCTGACTGCGACATTTGATACGAGTGCTATATCTTATTATTTGCAACACACACCCCAAAGAACGTCTTTGATTAGGTTGCCGGTGTCCGACTGTCCGGCCTTAAAACGCGCCTATTGTAAGCAAATGAAGCCACAAAATGATGGACCCGGCGCTGGAGAGCACGCTCACAATTAGACAGACGCTTAGCTGAAAATCTTGCTCAGCAAATTTATAAACTAAGCAATAGACCTTTCTTTCTTTTACAAATACGGTCAAAGTTTGCAGTTTTATCACTTTTTCAAGCAAGCAACGTGACATCCCAGGGAATATAAACACGGATGTCGCATAAAAAGTCTGCACTCCCTTAATGGCAGCCTGATATGGATCACGTGCGTCCTAAAGTAAAGCACACTTAAGATGGAAAGCTTGCGGTAAACACCATGCAGTATCTCTTTTTTTGAGTCTGTGTGGTTCTGATAAGAACTGGAGAGGCTCAACGTTTCGGACAGTGTGCTCTGAGACTGAAGTGCCGTGGAGATGTGGTGGAGTTCCTCGCGTAGGTGTTCTTGGTCGCATATGTTGTAAGCTCGGCGGATGAGGGC